CCACCTGCATCGCAAGCACAAGGTCCTGAGTTCAATCCCTGGTACAAAAAAAAAAGAAAAAAGCATGGTCAAAAGGAAAAGGAAAAACAACAGAAACCTTCCTTTTGTCCCAAGACACTTAGGGCAGGAAGGGTAAGGCAGGAGCAGATGCTTAGGCCAAGAGCAACTCCTGAAAATAATGTCCTTCCCCGCTGACAAACCAGAAGGCGGCTGAGCAACACAGCAGCCCAAGCACAACAAAACAAAGCTCTCAACACAATTTCTCTTTAAACCTCCCAGTGTTGATGTCAGGATTGTGCCACCAAACAAGCTTTTGGTTCTTTCTAATGGGAAAGGCCTAAGGACCAGTTTCCATAAGTCAGATTATTATTAACCAGACCTCCCAGAATGGTGCTAAATGCTGAAACTAGGCCAGGGATTTAGCTCACTGGTTCCGCCGCCTGCCTCGCAAGTGCAAGGACCCGAGTTCAATCCCTCGTACCAAAAAAAAAAAAAATGCTGAAACTAAACATGGAAAGAAAAATACACACCTGGTGTTGTCAAAGGAGAAGAAAATCTGGAATCAAGAAGGATATATGTGACACTCTCACACATGCTTATCCTTAGAAAAGCTCCCCTCTTGCCAAAGCTACTACTTCCCTTCTGAGAGGCTGCAATCAGACACCACGCAATGATGGAAAATTCAAGTTAAGGACAACTAATTCTAGCTCTTATTCCATTAGTTTCCTGAAACAACAGGATTCAGATTTCATCAGGGTAAACTCTTTAAATCCAGACTAATAAAAGGGTGTTTTGAGCGTGTGTGTCCAAATCGATGTGGTTTGTCCACTGGAGATTATTGTCAGACTACCACCTTTAGGGCACAGGCTCCTCTCTCTGCCATTTCTTCTCGTGTGTACATCTTCAAAAAACTTTAAGATCTACTGCCAACAGATTTCAAGTTAAGTATTTCAGATTTAAATAAACATTTAGACATATTTTTGATATATCAAGACATGAATTAAAACATACTTCTAAAACCTCATAATGAAAAGAATGAGAACATTTCTTAAAGAGGCACAAATATACAAACATAGTAAATTTCTTTAGACCTTATATACTGAATATAACCATTACCATAAAAAAGATTACCTTTCTCTTCTCACTTTACTCACAATCTAATACTGCATATAATTTAATAAACAGCAAAATAATTTAACCAGTACAGGGGAGCTCTTCACAAGAACATTTAAGGTTTGTTAAAAATAATGGATTTACTGCACACCTGTAATTCTAAATTACAACACCAAAAATACACTGAAAAGGGCTGAGCCCCAGGCATTCATAGCAGTATGCCAGGGGAATATGAGAACCAGTTTGGAAGTATCCAAATCAACCACCAGGCTGGCTCCACACTTTACAGGGCAAAATAGTAAATTGAGGTGAACTGCTTCTACATCCAGAAATGTCATGGCTGCTGCTGCTGCTGCTGCTGCTACCAGCTTTAACGCTTCCAAAACTGAATTGCTGAATGGTTATGCAGTAAAAATGTCATCTACTTTATCCATCTTGTCCCAAAACTGGTTCACACACTCCTAAAAATGAAAAAGTAATTTGGCCTGCAATCTCTTACAAAATTCTAGCAATTTCATTTTCAAAGCCACATTCCTGGTTCTTGGAACTACTATACCTTATTATCAATGGAAATAGCAATTCAGCGATTCAACCAAATCACAAGAACACAAATTTGGAGGTTATTCCAAAAACTAATTCGAATGAGATCCAACTCAGAAATTCTAAGCTTATAATGAAGCAGCAGTCCCAAAAACCAAGAACACTGCATCTGGGATGCCACATGACACACCCTTCAGACAAAAGAAACTTCACTCTTGCCCTAGGAGTATTGGCAGGAATGATTTGGCTGATCAAGGCAGAAAACAAACCTCACACCAAAACATTTTTCCACCTGTGTTATCTGGAGAAATACCACGTGGGACGGAAGTTCACGGTGCCTAGTGCTTCTTGCACATCATGGCCAAAGTTAAGTAATGGGATCATGATGGCCATGGCCATTCATGGTTTCAAACCCCGATGCAGGTAGCACCAGCACACATACCAAAATGACCTACCCAAGTGGCATCTTTGTCACTGAAATGTTAATCATTTGACAAATCATGCTCGCCATCTCTTCAGTATGAATGCTCCAGAAAACCAATACTTTTCAGCCCTTCAAAAAGACTCCATTAAGGATGATTTGATTCTAGGTTTCCCTTGAGGGAGAGGGAAGCTCAAGACATACAAGTTGTTCTCTAGTAATAGTTTTGTCTAAACCAGGGCTGAACAATCATTTAGTCTTGAGTGCCACCAGCAGGACCAAGACACAGGGAAGAAAGGAAGGCAACAGCAAGATAGGAGTGAGGAAGGAGAGGACACAGCAGTAGCCTGCTGGGGTGAGCAGAAGACCTTTGAGGCAGCCTCCTCAGACCTCCTGGTGGCAGCTAAGCTTCATTGCTTCCCTTGCCCTAAGTCAGCATGTGGACACCTGGGCTCGGCCAATGTGTACCCACATAAGGAACCGTGTTACCAAGCAGGTAACCCCTTATTTTGAATTCTCCAATTGCCAATCTATTTTTTCCCAGGGAGGTAAAGCCTAACGGTTTAACTGAAGCTAGTATTTTTTATGCTTGGAATCTGAGCAGCACACATTCCAGCTACCAAATTTTGATCCCAAGAGGACATCCACAAAATTTAAACAAACTTCCTGTCATATTTTAAAAGCTTAAAACAAATTTTAAAAGAAAAAAACTTCTCCAAGTAAAGAATTCGTTGAATTTCCTTAACACAAAAAGGCTTCCCTCAAGACTAATCAGAGTCCTATTAACCATATTAAGCCAGTAAAATCATTTGTAGATCAAAGGACCATACACACCACTGACACACAGGCAGGACTACAAAAAAGTGTGGTAGAGTGGACTCTAAGCCTGGACAAAACACAAGCTCCTCCCAGAACAGCTTTCACTGACAAAAAGTAACCAAGGAATTAGCCACAGAGAAGATGACACACCGACCTCCTTACCCTACTCCAACACCAGTACCATTACCTTTTTCCTTAACCAGGTCTTTAAGTGACTGCCACTTCACATCGAAAGGTATGTTCGTAATGAAGGCGCGGTATCTTTTAGTTGGATTGGCATATGGCTCAAAGCGATTGCCTCCTCTTTTTATATTTTTCTCCTTCCTCTTCTCATTCTGAGTAGGTCGTTCGCCTTCACTAAATTCAAAAGATGGGGGGGAAAGGGTTTATATTAACACAATATTAAAGCCAATATGATTTGCCTGGTTCACAATTTCACAAATTTAAATATAACATAAGACCAAGACTGGGTTTGAAGTGAGACATTCAAACAAGGGCCAGGGATTTAGCTCAATGGTTCCACCACCTGCCTCGAAAGTGCAAGGTCCCGAGTTTGATCCCCGTTACAAAAAAAACCAAAGTGCTCCATAGGAGAGAAAGTTACAGTAATGTGTTCCTTAAAACTCACCTATTAAGGGGCCGGGGATTTAGCTCAGTGGTTTCACCGCCTGCTGCTCAAGCGCAAGGACCCGAGTTCAATCCCCGGTACCAAAATAAATAAATAAATAAATAAATAATACCCCTCACCTATTAATAAATCATTCCTGAGAAAAGTATGCTCTTATAGGCTTACACATGCTCTTATGGGCTGTAACATGGAGGAGAGCAGGCCAACTCCCTGCCTGAGGTGTGTTAATTCCAAGATAAAAACAGGAAAAGATGGGGCCGGGGATGTAGCTCAGTGGTTCTGTCGCCTGCCTTGCAAGTGCAAAGACCCCAGTTCAATCCTCGGTACCAAAAAAAAAAACAACAGGAAAAGAGAAGGGAATACTTGTAAGATTTCATGGAATGGAAATAAGGTGGTACTCATGCACCTAACCAATTTTAGCTTCATAAAAGGGGGGAAACCAGCAATGTGAAATGGTGCATTCACTGGGAAAAGTAGTGTGGCAGTTACTCAAAATTATACACAGAATCATATAACCCACTAATTCTCCTGGGTATTTGCCCCCTAAAAATGTAAAGCAGGAACTCCAATATGTGTACACCAGTGTTCACAGCAGCATTACTGATTAAAAGTTAAATGAGCTGGGGATTTAGCTCAGTGGTTTCACTGTCTGCTGCGCAAGCACAAGGACCCGAGTTCAATCACCAGTACCAAAAAAAAAAAAAAAAAGCTAAAAGATGAAACAAAGTGCTAAGCAGCAGATGAATGGAATAAACAAAATGTGATGTATCCAGCATGGAATATTATTCAGCCATCGAAAGGAATGAAGTTCTGATACACACTGCAGCACAGATGAACCTTGAGGGCATCATGAAATTAGCTAGATACCAAAGGACAAATACTTCATGATTCTGCTCTTAAGCGATACCTAGAACAAGCAAACTCACAGGCAGATAGTAGGGCCTGGGGGAAGTGGAAATGGGGAGTTACTGTTCAAGGAATAGAATTTCTGTTTGGGATGATAAAGTTCTGAGACTGGAGTACAGAAGATGTACCTAATTGTACACTTAAGGTGGCTAAAGTGGCACATTTTCCATATATTTTACATTTTTAAAAACTCAAAGGCGCGAAGGGAGTGTGGGGGTAGAGAGTATGTGCTTAGTTTGATGAGGTCCTGGATCACATCCCCAGCAGAAGGGAAAGCAGGGGAAGGAAAACGGGGGTTGGGAAAGGGAGAGGAATTAAGGGGAAAAAAGCGAAGGAGAGGAAAGGAGGGAAGAAAAACACTCTGCCCAACCCTACCACTTTGAATCTAGAAAACTTCCAAATCTGCACAACTCTGGTCCACAGAACACAAACGTTCCCACCTTCAGCGATAAAGGGTGCTGCATTTTCAGCACACCTTTCCCTATGACATTCTACCTCTGTAAGCCCCTCCTTCCTTTTTTCTGTTTTGATCTTTGATTAAAGTATCAGCGCCTCCATTCTGTAACACTGCATCTCTAAGCTCCACAAAGACAGTTTTGGTTTAGAGTGAAACAAAGAAACGCACAAATACTTGCAAAGCCCAGCAAGTCAAGCTGAAAGTATGGAGCTAGAAGCAGAGCCTGGGAAGGGCCGGCGTGGGGGAGGCCCTGGCTGACAGGACTGCTCTCTGTGCTCGCTCAGGTTCAGCCTGCTCTGACCCAGGGAAGCACCAACGGAAGGTAACAAGCAGGGAGCAGCAGCCTCAGAGTCAGTCTCTCCAGGCACTAAGCCTTGCCCATTCCAAATCCCCAGCCCTAGGATTTCACCAGTGAAAACCCAGTGACTTCCAAACCACAAGCTCTAACAAAGTTTGTGATGCATGGTAAAAAAAACCAAAAAGCTAAGAACATGTTACTGACAATTTGTAGGACTATCTTTATTTAATTAAAGGGCTGGTCTTATTCCGGGATATGGCTTCCTTTTGTAGGAGGACAGTATTCAAATACCATATGGGAGCTGAAGGACTTTCTTTTAACATAAGTTACTTGGAAAAATTTCAAAGTTAACAATCTTTTATTGGGGGGCAGGGCTGAGACAAGGTTTCATTATGTAGTTCAGGTTGGCTACCTTGGTTGGTAGCCCAGGCTGACCTCAAATTCACCACAATCTTCAGCCTCCCTCCCAAGTGCTGAGATTACAGGCATGGCTTGAAAGTTAACCTTCTGAGAGCCAGGCGTGGTGGTGCACACCTATAATACAGCACTCGGGAGGCTGAGGCAGGAGGATTGCTGCAAGTTCGAGACCAGCCTGCACTACATAGCAAGATCGACTCAAGAAATAACACCAAAAAATGTTAACTTTTTGTACCCTCAAAGGCATCTTTGGTGGCCCCCAACATGCAAACCCAATTGGCATGCCAGCAAAGATATCACACAAGTGTGATTTATTCCTCACTTGGCACATAAGCAGCTTCCTTTATGATATGAACTACACTGATGCAAAATCTGCATGCTTCCCTTCACAGGAGCTGGCAGATGAAGAGTTAAGGCCACCTGCAACCCCAGATTCCTAGAACACTTCACTATCAGGCTCCCTGATTTCACAAGAGACCCTGCTCAGGGTGGCTGCACACCACAAAGCAAATCCCACAGGAAACCCACAACTACCCATCTGTCTACTCCTTAGGTAAGCCCTGTACCAAAATCTGCCACACACAACATTATCTGCAAAAGCATCTCTTACTCCTTCTGGGCAGACAATGAGGAAAGTGTTACTAAAATGTATAACAGATATTGGGAAATGGGAAGAAAATGTTCAAGTGGGAAGGAGAGAGGAAGGGACAAGAAAAAAAAGTGAAAACAAGGAAAAAAAGGAAACAAAGCTTTTGTACATAAGGAGGGAAGGCGAGGCACAGGAAAAAAAGGGTTGGGATGTACCATATACAGGTGCAAATTCCCTATGAGCATCATCATTATATATGCCTAAAATGTACCAATAAATGTTTTGCTGTATTTTTTTAAAAGGATGTTAAATGAGACTGTAAAAACAAGAAATGGATTTTATATAACTGGTTTCTTTTAAAATCTCCAATATTTAAAGATTTACATTTAAAATATTATTCTGACACAACAGTACTTCCAGTCTGTTTCCAGACTGCTCAGCTCTCCTGTTACAAACTGTATAAACAAGTAATTACAGTCACAGCAGGTGACAAAGCCTCTGTCAACCTGCCTATGGCTAGGAATAAGCTACAGGATAAAAACAAAGAAGCTGGGTGCCTGGCTGGGGGCTGATCCACATCACATGGCTCACTGCTCAGAGAGCAGGTGGGCGTTTAGTGC